TATCCGGATAACAGAAATGCGAAGAGGTATTGGATCTGCAGTCCGCTCCTGATATAATATTCTCGGGAAATTTGAATTCTTCTAGTAATGACCTCTCGTCGCTTCTGCGATCCTGATACTAATTTCTAGAAACACCACATCGACCATCAGATATTACTGCCTAAAGCACTCTTACTGTAGGAACTGGGGTTTGCTATCCGGATAACAGAAATGCGAAGAGGTATGGGATCTGCAGTCCGCTCCTGATATAATATTCGCGGGAAATTTGAATTCTTCTAGTAATGACCTCTCGTCGCTTCTGCGATCCTGATACTAATTTCTAGAAACAACACATCGACCATCATATATTACTGTATGAATCACTCTAATTGTAGGAACTGGGGTTTGCTATCCGGATAACAGAAATGCGAAGAGGTATTGGATCTGCAGTCCGCTCCTGATATAATATTCTCGGGAAATTTGAATTCTTCTAGTAATGACCTCTCGTCGCTTCTGCGATCCTGATACTAATTTCTAGAAACACCACATCGACCATCAGATATTACTGCCTAAAGCACTCTTACTGTAGGAACTGGGGTTTGCTATCCGGATAACAGAAATGCGAAGAGGTATTGGATCTGCAGTCCGCTCCTAATATAAAATTCGCGGGAAACTTGAATTCTTATAATGACCTCTCGTCGCTTCTGCGATCCTGATACTAATTTCTAGAAACACCACATCGACCATCACATATTACTGGCTGAAGCACTCTAATTGTAGGAACTGGGGTTTGCTATCCGGATAACAGAAATGCGAAGAGGTATTTGATCTGCAGTCCGCTCCTGATATAATATTCGCGGGAAATTTGAATTCTTCTAGTAATGACCTCTCGTCGCTTCTACGATCCTGATACTAATTTATAGAAACACCACATCGACCATCACATATTACTGGCTGAAACACTCTAATTGTAGGAACTGGGGTTTGCTATCCGGATAACAGAAATGCGAAGAGGTATTGGATCTGCAGTCCGCTCCTGATATAATATTCGCGGGAAATTTGAATTCTTCTAGTAATGACCTCTCGTCGCTTCTGCGATCCTGATACTAATTTCTAGAAACAACACATCGACCATCATATATTACTGGCTGAATCACGCTAATTGTAGGAACTGGGGTTTGCTATCCGGATAACAGAAATGCGAAGAGGTATTGGATCTGCAGTCCGCTCCTAATATAATATTCTCGGGAAATTTGAATTCTTCTAGTAATGACCTCTCGTCGCTTCTGCGATCCTGATACTAATTTCTAGAAACACCACATCGACCATCATATATTACTGGCTGAATCACTCTAATTGTAGGAACTGGGGTTTGCTATCCGGATAACAGAAATGCGAAGAGGTATTGGATCTGCAGTCCGCTCCTAATATAAGATTCGCGGGAAACTTGAATTCTTATAATGACCTCTCGTCGCTTCTGCGATCCTGATACTAATTTCTAGAAACACCACATCGACCATCACATATTACTGGCTGAAACACTCTAATTGTAGGAACTGGGGTTTGCTATCCGGATAACAGAAATGCGAAGAGGTATTGGATCTGCAGTCCGCTCCTGATATAATATTTGCGGGAAATTTGAATTCTTCTAGTAATGACCTCTCGTCGCTTCTGCGATCCTGATACTAATTTCTAGAAACACCACATCGACCATCACATATTACTGGCTGAATCACTCTAATTGTAGGAACTGGGGTTTGCTATCCGGATAACAGAAATGCGAAGAGGTATTGGATCTGCAGTCCGCTCCTGATATAATATTCGCGGGAAATTTGAATTCTTCTAGTAATGACCTCTCGTCGCTTCTGCGATCCTGATACTAATTTCTAGAAACAACACATCGACCATCATATATTACTGGCTGAATCACTCTAATTGTAGGAACTGGGGTTTGCTATCCGGATAACAGAAATGCGAAGAGGTATTGGATCTGCAGTCCGCTCCTAATATAATATTCTCGGGAAATTTGAATTCTTCTAGTAATGACCTCTCGTCGCTTCTGCGATCCTGATACTAATTTCTAGAAACACCACATCGACCATCAGATATTACTGCCTAAAGCACTCTTACTGTAGGAACTGGGGTTTGCTATCCGGATAACAGAAATGCGAAGAGGTATGGGATCTGCAGTCCGCTCCTGATATAATATTCGCGGGAAATTTGAATTCTTCTAGTAATGACCTCTCGTCGCTTCTGCGATCCTGATACTAATTTCTAGAAACAACACATCGACCATCATATATTACTGTATGAATCACTCTAATTGTAGGAACTGGGGTTTGCTATCCGGATAACAGAAATGCGAAGAGGTATTGGATCTGCAGTCCGCTCCTGATATAATATTCTCGGGAAATTTGAATTCTTCTAGTAATGACCTCTCGTCGCTTCTGCGATCCTGATACTAATTTCTAGAAACACCACATCGACCATCAGATATTACTGCCTAAAGCACTCTTACTGTAGGAACTGGGGTTTGCTATCCGGATAACAGAAATGCGAAGAGGTATTGGATCTGCAGTCCGCTCCTAATATAAAATTCGCGGGAAACTTGAATTCTTATAATGACCTCTCGTCGCTTCTGCGATCCTGATACTAATTTCTAGAAACACCACATCGACCATCACATATTACTGGCTGAAGCACTCTAATTGTAGGAACTGGGGTTTGCTATCCGGATAACAGAAATGCGAAGAGGTATTTGATCTGCAGTCCGCTCCTGATATAATATTCGCGGGAAATTTGAATTCTTCTAGTAATGACCTCTCGTCGCTTCTGCGATCCTGATACTAATTTCTAGAAACACCACATCGACCATCACATATTACTGGCTGAAACACTCTAATTGTAGGAACTGGGGTTTGCTATCCGGATAACAGAAATGCGAAGAGGTATTGGATCTGCAGTCCGCTCCTGATATAATATTCGCGGGAAATTTGAATTCTTCTAGTAATGACCTCTCGTCGCTTCTGCGATCCTGATACTAATTTCTAGAAACAACACATCGACCATCATATATTACTGGCTGAATCACTCTAATTGTAGGAACTGGGGTTTGCTATCCGGATAACAGAAATGCGAAGAGGTATTGGATCTGCAGTCCGCTCCTAATATAATATTCTCGGGAAATTTGAATTCTTCTAGTAATGACCTCTCGTCGCTTCTGCGATCCTGATACTAATTTCTAGAAACACCACATCGACCATCAGATATTACTGCCTAAAGCACTCTTACTGTAGGAACTGGGGTTTGCTATCCGGATAACAGAAATGCGAAGAGGTATGGGATCTGCAGTCCGCTCCTGATATAATATTCGCGGGAAATTTGAATTCTTCTAGTAATGACCTCTCGTCGCTTCTGCGATCCTGATACTAATTTCTAGAAACAACACATCGACCATCATATATTACTGTATGAATCACTCTAATTGTAGGAACTGGGGTTTGCTATCCGGATAACAGAAATGCGAAGAGGTATTGGATCTGCAGTCCGCTCCTGATATAATATTCTCGGGAAATTTGAATTCTTCTAGTAATGACCTCTCGTCGCTTCTGCGATCCTGATACTAATTTCTAGAAACACCACATCGACCATCAGATATTACTGCCTAAAGCACTCTTACTGTAGGAACTGGGGTTTGCTATCCGGATAACAGAAATGCGAAGAGGTATTGGATCTGCAGTCCGCTCCTAATATAAAATTCGCGGGAAACTTGAATTCTTATAATGACCTCTCGTCGCTTCTGCGATCCTGATACTAATTTCTAGAAACACCACATCGACCATCACATATTACTGGCTGAAGCACTCTAATTGTAGGAACTGGGGTTTGCTATCCGGATAACAGAAATGCGAAGAGGTATTTGATCTGCAGTCCGCTCCTGATATAATATTCGCGGGAAATTTGAATTCTTCTAGTAATGACCTCTCGTCGCTTCTGCGATCCTGATACTAATTTCTAGAAACACCACATCGACCATCACATATTACTGGCTGAAGCACTCTAATTGTAGGAACTGGGGTTTGCTATCCGGATAACAGAAATGCGAAGAGGTATTTGATCTGCAGTCCGCTCCTGATATAATATTCGCGGGAAATTTGAATTCTTCTAGTAATGACCTCTCGTCGTTTCTGCGATCCTGATACTAATTTCTAGAAACAACACATCGACCATCATATATTACTGGCTGAATCACTCTAATTGTAGGAACTGGGGTTTGCTATCCGGATAACAGAAATGCGAAGAGGTATTGGATCTGCAGTCCGCTCCTAATATAATATTCGCGGGAAATTTGAATTCTTCTAGTAATGACCTCTCGTCGCTTCTGCGATCCTGATACTAATTTCTAGAAACGACACATCGACCATCATATATTACTGGCTGAATCACTCTAATTGTAGGAACTGGGGTTTGCTATCCGGATAACAGAAATGCGAAGAGGTATTGGATCTGCAGTCCGCTCCTGATATAAAAGGAAAATCCATATACCAAATTTTAGTTAATTCCAGTTGACGGTTTCAAGGATATTAAAAAAAATATTTTTTATTTTTAGCAGGCTCCCCTTAAAATGCGGTCCTCGGTACATGGTGTCTCGTTTTGGTTCCGACTTGCGGATCATTCGAAATAATTTTAATTAAGCTTACCCGACAATAGCGCTGAATAATGAAAAAATAACCGAAGCTTTTTTTCGGCCACGGAGAACAAAAGATTGTCTCCCTACGGTGCGAAATCGAAATCACGAAGATCGTAACGAAACGGCAAAACAAGATCACCGAAACTCTTTATTGGTGACATCAACGATTGCGAGATACTGAACCGGAACTTGAACAACGAATTTCCGGGCAACTTATAATTAACCTCCAAGTGATAGTTCCCCCACCTGAAAGCTAACTTGCGACCGAAAAACCGGGCCTTAGAAACAAGGTCGTAACAGAAGCTTATACATATTTTAATTAGAGACTTACCCATATAGTCTAGATTAGGTTGAACCATTTTGGAAAGCCTCGATGTCCAGGGCTGACATGGGATCGGTTCGACACCGTCCACATCGTTGACATGTTCTGCAATACAAAAATTACGATCTTCAAACGTTTTATAAATAAATTCAATCAACAGGCAACAAAATTCCTCAAATTTCTTCTTAACCTTTTTGTAGACAAGTTCCAGACCATCGATCGACGTACGCTGCATGGAGATTGACAACCATTCTACTTTGATGTCCAAAAAAGAATCTGAAAGATACTAGCGCCATCTATGAGATAGTAGCAGAGCTCAAAAATGAATTAAGACAAACACTTTGAAAAGGGTTAGAGTGATCCATATTGCTACTGCCTCATAGATGGCGTTGGTGTCTCCAGTTCCATTTTCGCGCCTCTCCAATGCCCATTTCGATTGGGTATTTTCAGGTTGAATACTTTAATTGATTAAAATTCAGCGCCATCTATGACATAGTAGCAAAGCCGAACACTCTTTTCAAAGTGTATTTCTATACTGTAAATAACAAGTGAGCAAATTTTCAGCCTTATCAGTTGGACATTCCGGTTCTTATACTGCTTTTTTTTTAATTCACTAACGCTCTAAAAATGAATAGCTGCAGTAAAGAATCAACGTTGGCGGATTTTGGTTCTTGACATCCTTTACGATCGGTTACGATGCCTAGAGTACGGAGACCTGTACGATTTCGCCAACTTAGTGAGTTTGACAGGGGCCGTATAGTGGGACTTCGGGAAGCTGGACTTTCTTTTCGGGCAATTGCAGTTAGAGTGCAGAGAAGTGTAGACACTGTGGTTAGGTGTTGTCAGGCACGGCTTCGAGAAGGCCGTACGCAAAGAGCAAGGAGCACTAGACGCCGCCGTAGAACAACAGACCGTGAAGATCGCCGCCTAAGATTATTGGCCTTAAGGGACCGTTTCTCCACTACCAGGTCCACTGCAAATGAATGGTTTGCAGAACACGGAAGACATATTGGCATGCGAAGTGTTTACCGACGAATGAGAAGTTTTGGCTTGTTTTCATACCGGCCACACTGGGTCCTCCCTTTAACTCGAAAACACCGACGTAATCGCCTTGAGTGGTGCAGACAACGGTCACTCTGGGATCAGGAGTGGAACAGTATTGTCTTTAGTGACGAGTCTCGATGTTGTTTAGGCATGCACGATGGTCGTGCCAGGGTTAGAAGGCGACGTGGTGAAAGGAGGAATCCACAGTTTTTTGTTGAAAGACATGTTCATCACACTATTGGAGTTATGGTTTGGGGTGCTATAGCTTATGGTTCCAGGTCACCTTTAATCTTCATCAGAGGTAACATGAACGCGCAGCAAGTCCTAGAACCCCATCTTTTACCCTATCTTGACACCCTGGCAAATCCAACTTTCCAACAAGGTAATGCCCGACCACTTGTTGCAAGAGTCACAATAGACTTCTTTCAACATAATGATGTCACATTGTTACCATGGCCACCAAGATCTCCCGACTTATATCCAATTGAGCACGTGTAGGATATGATGGGTATGAGATTGCTTAATTTGCAACATCCTCCTCAGACTCTAGAAGCACTTCGAGAGGAGTTGGTGGTTGCCTGGAATGAGATACCACAGGAGGACATTGACCACCTGATCAGAAGCATGCCTAGGCGCGTTGGAGCATGCATAGCACATCAGGGTGCATCCACACATTATTAAAGGTCAAAGGGCTTTAAAGCAGTGCAATCATTTTGAAATTTTTATCATTTACTTATTATGCTTCATTAAGTAGTTATACAAAATTTTATTAAAATAAAACCATTTAAACTGGGTGTTCGGATTTATATGTCACTTAGTATATATAACTTGGAAAGTACCGTTTGGATTTAGAATACATTTTCACATAAAGCTAGTATAATGTCATTGATGAAAAAACTTTGCAATTTTTCAAAATCGGTCAAGTAAAGACGGAGCTACAAGGAAAAGACGCAAAAAAAATGGAATCTCTCAAACTTGGTTTCTTAACGTTCCAGAAGCTGCAGTATATTTTAGAAATTTCTGCTACACTTTTTCAACATTATTTTTGTACAGTTTATAGATAGGACTCCAAATAATTGCACCGTATTCTAATTTACATATAACAAGCACTGAAAATAACTTAATAAGCGTTGCGTCATTGAAATTTCTACAATTTCTGATAATAATGCCATATTTGCGATACGCATTACTTATAATTTCACTGATGTGGTAGTTAAAAGTGAGCTGACAATCGAAATAGACGCCCAAATCCTTGAAAATTTCACACCTTTCCAATACAGGATCATCTATTTTGTATGGGTAAGTTAAATATTTGGCTTTCCGGGTAAAGGTTAAAATGCGGCATTTAGAATTGTTCAAATACAAATCGTTATTAACACACCATGTTTGTAAAAAAACTAGTTGTTGTTGGAAGTTCTCACAATCCTGCCAGCTAGAAAGCTTTAGATCATCAGCAAACATAAGCTTCTTGCAGCACATTGTGCTGCAAAGATCGTTCACGTATAAGGCACACGATAGGGGGCCCAAATTAGAACCCTGAGGTACACCACTACTTGGCATATACAGGGTGACTTTGAAGTTGAGTCATTAATTTTCAGATAATGATTGTAGAAGGAAGATAAACCAAAATATGTGTGTAAAAATAAAAAAAAATTAAAAAAAAATGTTACCTTGTTTTATAAAGTGAGGTCTTAAGTCACCTGATTCACGAGCCCTTTGCACTACATTAACAAAGGCACGAGGGGTTGGTTGCACTCGATTGGGAAACCGATCCGCATAAATCCGTGATGCCGCGTAAATAAGAATCGTGTCCACAAGTTCAGCATTTTCGTAAACATGTGCCATTTTTGATTTCGTTTGAGCCACGCGACAGACACCACTATTCACTCACGCGTTACCGACTGACACTGACTGTATACAACTGAATAAAATAATTGTAAAAACATCGTTCCAAATTCTTTCGCTTTTTTGTTTCCGATGCGATGAACCGATAAGGCGGATTATATCCGTTGTCGCCAAACACGAGCACATAATATTATTATCGAGACAGGGCGGTACTCAAACTTCCAAAGGGCTATAACTTTGTTACTTTAATTTTACCGGAAAAATGGTAAAGGAAAAAAACATTTCTCTTGATCAGATCTACTCACTGTTAAAATAAATGACTCAACTTCGAAGTCACCCTGTATTTATAAAGACTAAATCCATTATCGAATACATATTGAGTTCTCAAGTCTAGATAAGACTTGAGAAGATCCACATAAGTTCTGTTGAATCCCATGTATTCAATTTTTTGTAGAAGCAGTTCATGGTCAATTTTGTCAAAGGCTTTTGTGAAGTCAGTATATATGACATCCACTTGCCCCCTATTGTCTACGGCCTCGCATAGATCGTGGCCAAATTCGTAATAGTGGATCTCTGCTTCATGAAGCCATGCTGATGCACTGACAGATGGCCTTTAGTTGCCAAGTAAATTCTGGAATATTATTTCAAAGAGCTTTGCAAAATTATTCAGTATAGTGATCGCCCCGTGATTATTTACTAAGGTTCTGTCTTGCGACTTGAAAATTGTGCAGACTTTGGCAACCTTCCACTTACCAGGAAAGACCGATGAACGTAGAAGTGAATTAAAAATTGTCAACAAAGGAGTTGAGAAGAGCTTTACACAGTCTCTAATGAAAGATGGAAAAAGGGCAGTATCGTTCGGTAATTCGCTCTTGTTTTCGGATGGGAAAAAAAGGAGATAAAAGCAAAGTCGGATGCTGTCTATGGGGGCACTTCGCCATCTGTGAAAAAATTGTCGGCCCGACGGGTGCCGCGATTGCTCACGGTGGACGACAAGCGGATTCGGCTGTTAACTTCAAAGCGGTGATTGGAGCAATTCCGAGTTGTCACCGTCGATGAAGCTTGGATTCATAATAACACACCAGAAACTAAGCAATAATCAAAACAATGGATTTCTCCCGGTGAATCTGCTCCCAAGAAGGCGAAGACGGTTCCATCGCCCGGTAAGGTCATGGAGACGATTTTTTGGGACTCGAACGGCGTCATCCTCGTGGATTTTTTAGAAAAAGGAAGAACGATCATTGGACAATACTACAGTGAGTTATTGGACCGCCTCGACAAAACATTGAAGGGTACACGGCCACATTTGACGAAAAAAAGGTACTGTTTTCACGCAGCGACCTTTTCTTGTTCCCTGACATGAAGGAATGGCTCGCGGGGAAAAAATTTACCTCAAACGAGGAAGTCATCGCCGAGACAGAGGCGTATTTCGGAGTGATCGACAAACCCTATTTTTCGGGTTGAAAAAATGGCAGGAACGGTGGGAAAAGTGTATCTTTCTGAAAGAGGATTATGTTTAAAAATAAAAAGAATTTTTTTGGAAAAAATGGTGTCTTCATGTCTAACACGGGTACTTGTTGAACCGCCCCCGTATATGGGATTATTTTAAGACGAAACACTGCGAAAACCTTATCTAAACTATGCAAGCTGGAATTAATGCTGTTATTACGCAAATGGAGAGGTAACGAGCTATTGAAATGCTTCGTCCGCACATTTATGTGTCAGCCAAATATTGCGTTGTTATCAATACAGGGTGTCCGCAAAGTGTAGATGTGTGTAGATATTGAAAACATCAGCAATTTTTCTTAGTACCATATACACCAATGTCTTAAGGGAACCGAGATAAAGGGCTCTGCAACATCAAAAATATCTGAATACCGTCCTGTAGCCGCGACCCGCCGCGATATCCCAGACTGGTACAAGGTCTCAACCCGACGGCAGAACTGGGTCGGGGTCAGTGTGTCAGGTTAGTATGCAACCTTCAACCGACGGTTACAGTCACGCGTGTAGAGGTAAACGAACTCGTATAATCGATTGCGTTTAAAAAAACAACAAGCACTAGAGACGTGGCCAGAGAAGTGCAAGTATCAAAAACTAAAGTGTGGCAAACGCTGCGTGAAGAGGGTACAAGCCCTTCAACCTGACGATTTTCCAGCAAGAGTGCGGTTTTGTGAGTGGTTGTTGCATCAACATGACAATAATCCGGTCTTTTTGAAGTGCATATTGGTCACAGACGAATCTACGATCACGCGTAATGGGGTGTATAACTTTCGCAACACTCATGTTTGGTCATTTTCAACAAACATTTTCGGTGAATGTTTGGGCTGGCATGGTGAACGGTATGCTCATTGGACCATTTATTCTCCCAAATCGATCGGACGGGATGCAATACCTAGACTTTTCACGCAACATTTTGCCTTCCTTGTTAGAAGATGCGCCGTTAAGTGTAAGACAATCAATGTGGTTTCTGCGTCCGCTCGGTAGCGCTTCAGCTGATTTCATTTTCTGTTGGAGCGGTACGATTTCGGGCAGAGACGTACTTAGCCCTTCTCGTCAACTGGAGAGTGAGTATTTCATATATTTCAATGTCTTATAGAAGACAAAATTATTTTGTACCCTTATCAACACCCTGGAACCTGGGCTATCAAACGCGAACTGTTGCTACCCGATAGCTGCTATACACTGTCGCACTGGTCGATTCTGATACGTACTTGGCGCTTTGTGCAAGAATTAATACTTTGTATTCTTATTGTACCTGGCAGATTTCCTTTCAGAATGTGCTATTACTGTGCAGCAAAGATAGTCTCTTCACTTACGCTTGACATTTTTCTCTCAATAAGAAAACTCTTCCCGTATAATACGATTTTGTAGAGCGTGTACCGGTATACGATATTACGTGGAGAATAAAGAGAGACAACCTTTAAAAAGGGGAGGCATAGTGCTATTAAAGAACCGTCCTCTCATATTATGGGAAGTATGGTCGTTTAAGGCCACGCGAATAAGGTAATTTTGTATAATTTGGTCACATTAGCACATGCACCCAATAGATAATTGGTGAATAAATAGACAGAGACATCGTTTGAGAACGGCTTAAATCGAAAAATTCTTTTGCGTTATGGTAAAGTGAGATCGTTTGACGTCGCTGGAGTAGCAAGGATCTCGGTCCGCGTTTAACAGTGCAGACATCTCTGCGACCGCTAGATGGCTGACGGTTCTGGCTGTATAGTCGTTGTAGTCTACATGAACCTGATACGCTCGTCCGTTCGGTAAAGACGGCGAACCACGAACAGCTGTTTCGTGCTTTTCGGAAACTCATGGTCTAGGCTTGGTATCTAGGACAACAAACTAAAGCATAGCAAGGTATGAGATCGACCAAAAGAAGGTCTATTCTGAAAATCGACTTGCGCTGTCTTATTTCGGCTGATGAGTTGCTAAAAATCACAAAATAGCTGTCCATGGTTTGCTGTCTTCAGTCGGACGGAAGAAAGCAACATTTTAAATACAACTTAACATTCAATCTCCATGTCGAAATTAGGCAGCAGCGGTGGCGTAGTGGTAGACGCTACGGTTTCGTAATCGACCACCGTGCGCTGCGCGGGTCCGAATCCCGTCCCAAGATAATTTTTCTCTTGCCTCTGAACGTTGGGATCTTCCGTAGGTGGTAGACGGTCTCTGACTGTCAAACGAGGAGGTACCACCCAGCGGATCTCGTAGGCGGGGGCAGAATGTGTACATGCTGCATGCACACGTGTTTCATCGCTAGAGTCCGTGTACCCCATGGGCGTTTAGGCCCTGATTGGAGTATAAAAAATGTAAAATTGAGTGACATCAGAAGTATTACACCCAGAAAAAATTAATTTCTTCAACTTGATCTTTTGGCAACAAGAATGAAACGATAACATTTTCACGAAATTTTGATGATAAGTAATAAGAAAAAAGTTGATGTGTTGGGTGAGCTGAATACACTCCTGTATACGTCTAGGCATCAACAAAATGAGATGATCGATGTCTGGTTGTGGCACCTCATCCCAAGCAACTCGAACTCCGTGGATTAGCTGTGGGAGAGTCTGTGGCGGATGATGCAAAGTGGATAGTCTCCTCCTCATCATATCCCCACGTGTGAATGATCATTGAAGAAAGTCCGTAGTACGACGAGCAATATGGAGACGAACGTTGTCTTGCTGAAAAAGGACGTGTGGACGGCCCTCTAGATATGTCAGTAAATTTGTTTGTACGACATCATCAAGATAACTCGCAGCAATCATACGGCCTTGAAAAAAGAGAAGCGGTGAATAGCCCCCCAAACCATTACTCCAACAGCAACAGCAAATCGAATGTCCCGTTCTCCACGGCGGCGTCTTACCGTTCTACGATAACGTGCGTACCTAGACAGCATCGCAATTCATCGCTGAAGATGACATTATGACATTCTGGCTCCCAATGTTGCCGTTCTCTGCTCCAGTTCAAACGTTGGCAACAGTGGTCCACAGTCAGAGGAAGCACTAACCGTCGACAGTATCAAAAAAGTCCAAGGGTTCGAATGCGCGTAGTAACAGGTCTACCTTCTTCTCCAAACCAGTGGTCAGCGATCTGACGCATTGTGGAAAAACGGTGTCATAGGGCCCTGTGGTACGCCTCGGTGCACCAGATGCCCTTCTCCGTGTTCCTCTACCCTCTCCTGTCCCCACACGACACACACGCATTACCGTCATGGCAGTACAATTAACACCGAGGCCAATTTTGCGATAGGACAAACCAGCATCTCGATAGGCAAATAATCATACCCCTGTTAAAATCGCTAACGTGGTGATAATTTGGACGCATTCGAACTCGAGGCATTTTGTTATGCTTAGCACTAGTAAATGAAAGGGTAATAATAAAAAATATCTGTACTACTCAGCTCTCAGAAACTGTTTTTTCACAAAAACTAAGAGATAATATTTCTACAAAAATAAACAAAAAACATAGATGAAACGTTGACATTGTTGCCACAGCATGGTCTAAATATAGTATGTTGTTAAAAAAACAAGTTGAAAAAATTATTTTAAATTGGGTAATTAACAAATAAATGGTATTAAGTTTTTCTAAGTTAAGCCAAAATGTGTAGTCAGTAAGTAAGTTTGATTAAATTAAATATTTAAAACACACATGATAACAGCGCGTCGGTCGTTCATCACTCTTATCGCACCGGCAATCGATCGCAGACGGTAACAGTGATTAATTATTGTCCGCGTACGTCGTCTTGTTTATTTACAATGTTTTCGAATCAAGAGTTCGCCGACATGTTTTTAGTTTACGGTGAATTTTAAATATCGCGGAAATCAATCCGATGGATTTCTGGTTTTGGCGAGAACTTAAAGGGATGGTTTATGGGGCTGATCCATAGTTGGGCCAACTGAAGTGGGAAGGGGCTCGTATTCCTCGAATGACTGCATTTGATGAAAAAGTTTTAATCGTTTTAATTATATTAATATGAAGTACTTATCAATAAATTGAATTACTATTTCCGTTCCCATGAAGATTCAAGTGCCGATGATAAATTATAGGCAAAGTTATCCCTATTGAATGCAATGTACATAAAATAATTTCCATAAGAATTTTATTTTAAACGACCAGACACTTTGAAGACATGAATCTTTACATGATAGTTAATCTTGTCATGACAACATAAAAATTGATGAAATTACTGAGTCGCTTGTTGCAGAATTTTGGGATCCAATTCGGAACTGGATCTCTTGAATTTGTTCCATTTCAGGTCCATCCTCAAAAGGATCGATAGTGTCATTCTGTTCTAAGCACAGCAGTTGCCACAAAAACCTCACACATAGTTTCAAGCTTTAACCCCCATCTCAAGATTTGGTTTTCTTTTGAGATTGGCTGGTTCCTTTCATTTATCGGTTCTGCAATACAGTTTACAGTCGCCTAAATGTATTCTCGTTTATTCTAAATCTCCTGTTAAACTCCAAATTATCTAGTTCAATCAAGGGAAACCTTCTAGTTCTTACAATTATTTCTCTCGGGATATCTTCAATGTCACTCGTGTCTGTTTCCGAAGATTCTAATATGTCGATAATATCAATTCTACTGAGGCTATCCATTTTGATACTGATACAAAACAAGCCTTTACTCGCTGTTCGCTGACTGTATTTTGTAAATCACTTATACGAAATCTCTAGGCAAAATAAAGTCGGGATGACACTTTCGACTTTTTAGTAGGTATTAAACAGTCAGTTAGTGGTTTACCAGTCCTACATCGCGCTGTTAACTAAAAGTGGATTTGACAATGTTTTAATTTACCAGTCTGTTAGGGGAATGGTGACTACGGCTGAAAGCAAACAATCTCCAATATAATATCTAGTTTGCTTTGTAACATTTAGCAGATAAACGAAACCCTGCAAAATAGAAAGCGTCTCATGACAAATGTCACAGCATGATACGAAATGTTAAGCCCCCGTTAAACGTGCATCAAGAAAGGGTTACTGTTTATTTAAGATCCAGTGAGAGATCATTCCTCAAACACCAGTCGAACCTCAAGGAACGTCACCCTCGTTTATCGCCCCGAAGCGCCAAGCCGACGGTTTCCGATAGAAATTCGCATTCTGACTCACCTGTGAATTCGAGACCTGCAAGTTTCCATGTTCCCCTTTTTGTAACTAAGACGCTTGCGGGACACACGTTCCTATGCAACACGTGCCCGGAGTAGTGAAGAAACGACAACGCCTCAGTAATCTGAAAGATAAAATAACACTTTATATTCTCCTTATACCGATATCACAAGTTAAAGCAGGCCATGCACGCTAAAAATCGAAGGAACTTTAGCGTGTATGGATACCTTTAGTTGAAGGGAAAAAATATTACATCGGAAACCACAATAGAGTAGTTTCAAAATCATAGAAAGCTATAACTTTTCTTGTTCCTAATCTGAGATACTGTACGAGTATACATACTTGCAAGATGCCGTATTTGTACTCCATGTCGAGAAAGTTGTATTCTCTAGGAAACGCCGTTGGGGGTAGCTGTCTAGCAGTTTGTTGACCGGTTTGTTGACCAGGCTGTCCAGGATTCATCTGCGCATGCGCTTGGGCTTCTTGGAAAGCTAGGATATTGGCCAGACTCGCAAAAACCTGGAAGTGGAGAAAAATATGTACATGGCTCGCTTGGAGTTACCCTGGAATACAAGGAAGCAATGAAGAGAGATAGAATGAGGTGAAGAAGAAAGTAATAAATGAATGAAGAAAAGGAGGAGAGAAGGAAAGAAGAAGCAAAGAAGAAGGAAAGAAGAAGGAAAGAAGAAGGAAAGAAGAAGGAAAGAAGAAGGAAAGAAGAAGGAAAGAAGAAGGAAAGCAGAAGGAAAGAAGAAGGAAAGAAGGAAAGATGAAGCAAAAGAGAAGGAAAGGAGAAGGAAAGAAGAAGGAAAGAAGAAGGAAAGAAGAAGGAAAGGAGAAGGAAAGAAGAAGGAAAGAATTAGGAAAGAAGCAGGAAAGAACAAAGAAAGAAGAAGGAAAGAAGAAGAAAAGAAGAAGGAATGAAGAAAGAAGAAGGAAAGAAGAAGAAAAGAAGAAGGAAAGAAGAAGGAAGAAGGAAAGAAAGAGGAAGGAAAGAGGAACGAAAGAGGAAGGAAACAGGATGGAACGAGCAAGAAAAGAGGATGAAAAGAGGATGGAAAGAGGCAGCAAAGGGGAAGGAAAGAGGAATGAAAGAGAAAGGAAGGAGGAAGGAAAGAGGAAGGAAAGAAGGAAAAAAGAAGTAGGAAAGAAGGAGGAAAGAAGGAGGAAAAGAGAAGGAAAGAAGGGGGAAAGGATGAGGAAAGAAGGAGGAAAGAAGGGATAAAGGGAAGAAGAGAAGAAGGGACGAAGGGATGAAGGGATGAAGGGATGAAGGGATGAAGGGAAGAAGGGAAGAAGGGAAGAAGGGAAGAAGGGAAGAAGGGAAGAAGGGAAGAAGGGAAGAAGAGAAGAAAGGGAAGAAGGGAAGAAGGGAAGAAGGGAAGAAGGGAAGAAGGGAAGAAGGGAAGAAGAAGAAGGGAAGAAGGGAAGGGAAGGGAAGAAGGGAAGAAGGGAAGGAAGGGAAGAAGGAAGAAGGGAAAAAGGGAGAAGGAAGAAGGGAAGAAGGGAAGAAGGGAAGAAGGGAAGAAGGGAAGAAGGGAAGAAGGGAAGAAGAAGGGAAGAAGGGAAGAAGAAGGGAAGAAGGGAAGAAGGGAGAAGGGAAAGAAGGGAAAAAGGGAGAGGTAAAAGGAAGAAGAAGGGAAGAAGGGTAAAAGGAACGAAGGGGAAAGGAAGAAGGGAAGAAGTCCTGGTCGGAAAAGCAAGTGGCCGCCCTTTCCGCATTTCCCTGGCCACTTTCCCATTCCGGTCAAGGGAAGTTATCCGGTAAGGACGATGGGACCTCGTTCCTCGTTGCCTCCGTTCCTACCTGGCTCAGGGCTTTCCGACTGTCCCCGTTCAACGTTACTCAGAAGGGAGACAGCCTCCGTTCGGACATTCCTCCGTCTGCCCCGCCATGGTTTAAGCAGAAAGGAATCACGAGCAGCTGCCAGGAAGGGCCGGAAGTCCTCAGCACGGACCGGAAGCATGAAAATGAAAAACGGAAGAAGAACGAAGAACGGAGATAACGGAAAACGAAAGAGAGGGAGAAAGGAAGGATGAAAGGAAGACACGAACCAAGAAGAAAGCGAAAATATCAATCACTCAAATTCCTTCGTACCGCTTCAGTAGCGAAGGCCAAAGTTTCAGCACATTCTTCGATAGAATGAAGCACATGTAGTATCTTGGGGTGTCTGAATCTTTCCAGCTGCTTGACGCTTCCCCTTAGAATTTCCGTCACCGTTTCTTTCCGCTTCGGCTTGTGAAGTTTCTCAGCGCAACGTTTCTCGAATATGAAAACTGAACATTCCTGAAACAATATATTTTCATGAAAAGGGCGCAAGTACGCAAATTTAAACCAAAATAAATGTTGAAGATGAGTTTAGAGCTCCTTTCTATAACCGCAAACCTCCCAATGTTGAAGATAGAACAGCCGCTATGTTACCCGGATGTTCAATGGCTGGGTTGAAGGTTAGGATCAGGAGAAAGCTGTTTAGTATATACAGGGTACTTCGAAGTTGAGTCATTTATTTTAACAGTGGGTAGATCTGATCAAAAGAAATGTTTTTTTTCCTTTACCATTTTTCTGGTAAAATTAAAGTAACGAAGTTATAGCCCTTTGGAGGTTTGAGTACCGCCCTGTCTCAATAATAATATTATGTGCTCGTGTTTGGAGACAACGGGTATAATCCGCCTTATCGGTTCATCGCATCGGAAACAAAAAAGCGAAAGAATTTGGAACGATGTTTTTACAATTATTCTATTCAGTTGTATACAGTCAGTGTCAGTCGGTAACGCGTGAGTGAATAGTGGTGTCTGTTGCGTGGCTCAAACGAAATCAAAAATGGCACATGTTTATGCGGATCGGTTTCCCAATCGAGTGCAACCAACCCCTCGTGCCTTTGTTAGTGTGATACAAAGGGCTCGTGAATCAGGTGACATACTTTATAAAAAAAGGTAAAATTTTTTTTTAATTTTTTTTTTATTTTTACACACATATTTTGGTTTATCTTCCTTCTACAATCATTATCTGAAAATTAATGACTCAACTTCAAAGTCACCCTGTATAAGTGGTTTATAATTTGTTATATTAGCCTGTCATAAAATTTTATCTCGTGATACAAACTTTCGCCTCTAACATTACGCAGACTCTGTAAATAATTTGTAAGCAATTTCTACCTCCTTATCCTTGTGGGAGCCGTGTTTTCTTATTTCTCTTCATCTATCGATAAATTATGAAGTCCGCAGAATAATGGATTTATTTATTTTTAATAACACCGTACTAGAATGTCAGAGATTGAACGTTATAAGGCTGGCTTTATGTCACTCGTGAAGTTTTGATATAATATAAAGCTTGATGAAGTAATTAAATATTTTATTTAGTACCTACCGTAGGCATTGCTACTACATAATTTATTCTTGAAGATCGCTGGTGGTTGAGTGAAGTACCTTTGCTAAGCTTGGGAATGGAATGTATCTAATTGAAAAACCGATTTATCTATAATCTATCAAATAGTGTGTCGACACTGAATATCTTCGTTACTATTAGAGTTGCAGAAAAAAGTTAATTATAAAAGTTATAGGGCTAAAATTTTGCTATACAGGATAAATCAGTGGCAATATAAACTTGTATTTTTCTTTAATGATTTTTAAAAGCGCCTTTTCTTGGCCATTCTGCAAATGCATGGTTTCGGACGTTTCAACAGGGTGTTTTGGAATATATGGCCACTTTTTCATTAAAATCATTATGCCTTTGAATTTCTGTATCTCAAATAACACTTTAGATAAAATCTGTTTTATTAATTCTCAATGATAGAAACAGTGGTAGACATTTATTCCTAACATTTTTTCTGTACATATTTCATTCGAGACATTCAGGATGAGTCAAAACAGAAAGATGTAATTTTCTCGAAAAATTTAAATCCAACCTCCATATTTTAGAAGTGAAAATCATAATTTTGGAATTATGAGGAAAAGATCCGCCAGAAAATTTCTATTGATTAAAATATGTCGCTAAGTGGTTAAAAAAATATAATTGAACCCTTACATACAGGGTGTCCGCAAAGTTGGGGTTTTCCTTTACACGACCTGTAGATCTTGAAAACATAAGCAATGTTTCTTAGTACCATATACACCAATGTCTTAAGGGAACCGAGATAAAGGGCTCTGCAACATCAAAAATATCTGAATACCGTCCTGTAGCCGCGACCCGCCGGGATATCCCAGACTGGTACAAGGTCTCAACCCGACGGCAGAACTGGGTCGGGGTCAGTGTGTCAGGTCAGTATGCAACCTCCAACCGACGGTTTCGGTCACGCGTATACGAGAATCCCTCAAGAAGCACTTGAGACGTGGCTAGAGAAGTGCAAGTATCAAAAACTAAAGTGTGGCAAACGCTGCGTGAAGAGGGGCTGTATCCGTTTCACGTCCAACGTATACAAGCCCTTCAACCTGACGATTTTCCAGCAAGAGTGAGTGAGTTTTTGAATGAATTATTTCCGAATAGGTGGATCGGACGTAATGGACCCGTAGCGTGGCCTCCGCGATCTCCAGACTTAACGCCATGTGGTTTTTTTCTTTGGGGAGAAATGAAACGCTTAGTGTACAAGACTGAAGTGCATACGGTTGACGAACTTCGTCTCAGAATTGAACAAGCTGGTGCTTCCATTCGGGGGAGGGACTCCATTCTCAAAGCCTGCACCGATGCTTGGCTACGTCGTGCACTCACCTGCGTTTTTGAATCAAACTGCGATAACGTCGAACAATACCTATAAAGTACGTTTACCTAAAAACTGAAAACGCGGCAACGCCGTCATATTTATCACCCATGTTCGTGGTCTGCACCACCGCCGGCGTCTGCTCGGTAGCGCATCAGCTGATTTCATTTTCTGTTGGAGCGGTATGATTTCGGGCAGAGACGTACTTAGCCCTTCTCGTCAACTGGAGAGTGAGTACTTTTTCCTTTATTTTTTTTTTTTACTTGGTCGCCCTCGTTTCACTACACATTACCTTTGTTATTTCAAGGGTAGTTGTTTCTGAAAAGGAAAACCCCAACTTTGCGGACACCCTATATAATGGCTTCTATAACAAAAAACCCTATACTTATGTATGCTAAAGAACCTTCACAATTAAAAATAACAACAGCTCCGTAACAATCATGATAATGACAACTAACTGAATCTATTTATGTGTCTACATAATTAATGGTTCAAAGCAACATCAATAAAGGCTCGTAACCGTCGTTTAAATGATTCGGCAAGATTTCTTAACATTTGGTGGTTAATGTTCTGAAAAGCTTCCCGTATCCGGACTTGCATATTAGCTGTTGTCCAACATCGAGTCTTATAGACATCGTCTTAAACGTAACCCCAGAGAAAATGGTCCATCATCAAGAATCCACGTTCTGGTATATGTCTTGATTGATGCGGTAAATTTTTTTCCAAAAAGTCCAGGTAAACTTGTCCATTTGATGTAGCATTGAAAAAATGTGGCCCTATAGCAAAATTGCCAATAATGCCACCACAATGACCATCTTTCCTGGTTGTGCGTTAACTTTGCAGAGGGCTGATGGCTAGCATAATGGTGGAAATTGTGCCTGTCGACATTTACATTTTTATGCAAAGTTGATTCGTCGGCGAACAGAACATGTTCAGAAAAATCGTCTTGGTCATGTTTTTTTTCTTGTGCCCAGCCACAACATGTCAACAAGTCCGTAATCGTTTTCGCTTAGCTCTTGATGCAATGGTAGCGGGCATTCGATTCCATTTGATTCATTCTGATGACATTCGCAGAGCGACGAATCAGGTTCACGAAGTAAGAAATGCTCTCCATGAATTCCGCAATGAGCAATGGAACGATTTTCTGGCGACGATGCTTAACTCAAGGACTCCTCTCTGGAAAGTGGCGAACGCGCTCAGAAACGGAAAGCGAGAACACCCCCGGCACATCCACGCTCCTGGGGACATAGTCTTCAGAGAACAAGGTCGAGATTTTCGCTAATGCTATGGAACGACAGTTCTCTCCCCACGATGATCTTGACAATAATCTCGATCACGAGCAACAAATTGTAAGACCCGTCAGGAGATATTTTAGGGCCAACGCCATTAGTGATTCTTCCTCAGAACATTATTTTTCGTGAGATTCTTCAGCTTAAGAGTTGCACAGCACATCAGCGGCTTCTCCCGAGATCCCGCATTGCACACCAGCACAGCTTCAAGGTCATATCAATAAGGCGCTGAAGCTGCTTTAACTGAAGTCCTTGACTCATCTCGTAGCTATCATCAATGCCATGTTAAGGACCCAGTACTTTCCTTCGGCGTGAAAGACTGTGGAAGTTATAATGATTCCAAAGAAGGTGGGTTCGATATTACCGCAGGACTATCGTCCCATTAGCCTGCTGTCTAACATAGTACGGAGTTACAGGCGGTTTGGCTTGTGGAGCGAGTAACCAGGGACTTCACCCTTAACAAAAGTACTTGCACCTTGCTTCTGGATGTCTCGAAGGCATTTGAGAAGGTGTGGCACAAGGGCCTTCTCTATAAATACTAGGTTTAGGTATAGGGAATGCTTAATACAACTGTAACGACATCAGTAGGCTCGTTGAACAGCGATATAACATACAGGATGTTGCATTTAAAGTTTTCGAAGGAAATATATCTATCCGTTTTTACTCACCCTGTATGCCTCGGATGAAACATGTACGTAAGAAACATTGCATACGAATGTCTACCACTCTTGCCATCACTCAGCATGCTAGAACAGATTTCATCTAAAGTGTGTCCAATGTACAATGATTTTAAGTGGCCATATATTCCGAAACACCCAGTACAAATCCATGCAGAATGGCCAAGAAAAGGCGCTTCTAAAAATCAACAGAAATACAGGATGTCCCATTTAAAAAAAATACAAGTTCATATTTCCACTAATCTATAGGAAACCCTGTATAGCTAAAAATAATTTTAGGTAGTAGTCTACAACCTTGGTATTTAACTTTTTCTGCAAAACTAATAGTAACGAAGATATTGAGTTTTGACACAATATTTGCACACCCTGTATACTTTTATAAAATCATTACATCCTAGACTAAAGTCTCCTTAATTAGATGTTTGCTTGATTTGAGGGTGCAATTGCTTTTCCAAATGAATATAATCGGGACCTGGATTTCCGATCAGGCATTTAAGAATGCAACAATATTTGACGCTAAAATTTCCATCTCAGTCACAACGTGACCTTTCGCAGAAGATAACAAGGCACGCCACGACCGATCAATTGTTATTATAACCAATAACGTCGCGCCTCTTATCGCCGTAA